CATGGAGACTTCCAGATAAGTCAGGTGGATGCCCCCCGTGACCCGCTCTCTTTGAACCCCCGAGTGGTTAAAGGACAGAAGAGGAGTCAGGACATGGAGGTACAGGTGTGTGGAAGGTCAGGGCTTTGCCGGTCCTGTTAGAACATGATGTTTCTAAACTTTCATCAGGAAGATACGGCTAGGTGTAGGTGCTCAAGGGGAGGGGAAAGGGAGTTGCGTTGCAGCCAGTAGGCCTGTGTTCTGCCACTGAGCTCAGGTTCCTTGCCCACAGCATGTAATGAATGTTATGATGTAATGAACGGGATACTGAAGGGAGTTTTGTGTCAGACTGATTGCTAGCTTGAGCTAGGTGTGTTCACAGCTGGGAACTCTGCTCTTGCCCTTCAGGATGACTCTGTAAATGGTACTGATGAGATGGAGGAAGATGTAAAGGTCTTGATGAAGGCAGATCCAAACAAGCAGGAGTCTTTGCAGTCAGAAGTGGTTCCTGATCCTATGGAAGGGGAGCAGACATGGCCTACTGAAGAAGAACTGCAAGAAGCAGAGGGTGAGTAGCAGCAATACTTCTGTACCTTTTCCTTGTCCCTGTTAAGAGGCTTGTTAGAAACACTCTGTCACCAGGATGGCTGTGAAGTAACATGGTAGTTGGGAGCTCAGGGCTTCTGTTCCTAGTCCCATCGCCTGACTAGCAGGCTGCGTGGTTTGCCAGGCAGTTAGCAGGGTTACATTTTAGCTGCCGTTTCTGGGCCCTGACAAATTCTGTACTGGGAAACAGCAGTTCTGGTCGAGAGCTGATCTTGGCTGTCCTGGTGTAAATGTTGCTGAGGGAAAAGAGAATTGTTCTTGTATTAACCATTGGTGGGAATCCTGCAGCTTCTCTAAAGGCAAACAGGAGAGTGGTGAAGGTCCCCAAAGGCACATCCAAGTACCAGGCTGCCTGGATTGTGGATGATGGAGAAGGCGGCAGTGAGAAAGATGATGATGGTGACGAAGATGATGATATCGATGATGATATGATGGAAGAGGCAGTTTCCCAGGTACCTTTCAAGAGCTGATACTGCAGGTGATCTCCAGGGTGTTACTGTGTATTCTAGGACAATCCTGTCCTTCTGGCTTGCTCCATGCAAGGGCACAACACAGAGCCAGGACTTCCGTTGTTAAATCTCTTGCATGTATCATGTTGCTTCTTTGGCCTGTTAAATACCAAAATGAGGGACTGTGGTGTAGCTTGGGTCACGATTCACACAGTGCAAGTACATGCTGGGTTTGCAGTGCTGCAGGGACATCAACAGAGTGTCTGTGCTCACAGAGTCTATGCTGTCCTGTGTGTCAGGAAGGGGAAAGCAGCGAGGAGGAAGAGGAGCCTGCAGAGGAAGAGTGTGAGACTATGACCGTTTCTGAGTGCTTGCGGGACGACCAGTACGATGAGAAGGTGGAGGAAGATGAACAGATGCTGGAGAGATACAAACAGGAGAGAATGGACGAAATGTTTCCGGATGAGGTGGACACGCCACGTGATGTACCTGCCAGAGTCCGGTAAGAAACAGGATGCTTTGCTGGGAGAGGAGCTGGAAGGCGCCTTTCTGTCTAGTGTGGTGAGATAGGGCAAGGAAGCCTGTGATGTCTTAGCCGTGGTGTCTGAACCTGGCTGAAGGACTCTTCTGAAGACTCACTCCTAGGCTCTGAGGCTTCCAGGGGAGGCACTGTTAGGGGGTGGCGGGTGGGCCTGGGCAGCTCCCTGTGGCAGGGAGAGCTGGGTCCCGACCTGGGAGAGGGAGGAGGATGGCAGAGCCCTGATGCAAGGGCAAGTTGCTTGGGGACTTGCCTGCTGTTTCTAGCTCTCTGCACAAAGATCTTTTCTGAGAGCTAACGTTTGCTTTGCTCTCTTTGCCCTCTGTGAAGGTGTGAGTCCCTGCAGCCCGCAGAAGGTGCTGGCCCACACACCTCAACTGGTGAAATAGTTTGTCTTTCCTGTTATCTGTTTTCTAGGTTCCAGAAGTACAGGGGGCTGAAGAGCTTCCGGACTTCTCCATGGGATCCCAAAGAGAATCTTCCAAGGGATTATGCCAGGATTTTCCAATTTCAGAACTTCTCCCGAACCAGAAAGCACCTCTTCCGGCAAATAGAGAAAGAGGAGACTGAAGGAGCCTCGGTAGCTCCCTTTTCTCTTGCTGATCTCTTCCCCTACTGTGTTCCCTTGCTCCTAATAGGAAAGACTTGTCAGGGAGGTGGCTGGGTGGATCTTTCAGCCAGCTGGTGCTTAGCATGAAGCTGAGTTCAGATGATATTGTTCTTCGGGATTCCCTCTCTAACCTAGGCACTTGTTACTTCTGATGCTTTTCTGTTGAGAGAAGTATTCACAACCGATCCTCTCTTGGCAGGTTGGCTGGTACGTTACACTTCATGTGTGCAATGTCCCTGTCTCAGTGATGGAGAGCTTCAAGGAAGGGAAACCCCTAGTCCTGTTCTCGCTGCTTCCCCATGAACAAAAGGTGACTAAGTATGGCCCTGCTGATATCTTGTAGGCCTGGAGCTCCTTGTCTGATTCCCTCAGGCTGCATGTGTTGGAGAGGTTCTGGTTGCAGAGGGTTTGGGCTGAAATCTTGCCGCATTGCACCCATTTCAAAGTAGGACCTTCCCTTTGGTCAGAGCAGGCTGAAGCTGCCATGGGTGTTTAGGCTAGAGTGTCTGAGACTGGCTGAGGTGTCTGCATTGGTGACCAGCAGTCCTTTGGGAAGCCATGGTCAAGAGCATTGGTCTCTGCTGCAATGTCCCATTGCTTTCTGCTCTATCAACCCTTGCTTGCCAGCTCTCCTGTCAGCCCCTCACAGTGCCGCCTCTCTTGCAGATGTCCGTGTTGAATTTCCTGGTGCGTCGGCATCCGAGCAACAGCGAGCCAGTGAAGGCAAAGGAGGAGCTGATCTTTCACTGTGGGTTCAGACGCTTCCGAGCATCCCCCCTCTTCTCCCAGCACACCTCAGGTTTGTGAGGGACCAGTGGGGTGGGCACAGGTATGCCGGGAGGTGGGGCTGGGGTCTCTAGGGCAGGAAGCCTGTGATGTCTTAGCCGTGGTGTCTGAACCTGGCTGAAGGACTCTTCTGAAGACTCACTCCTAGGCTCTGAGGCTTCCGGGGAGGCACTAAATAGTGGGGAGTGGAAGAGCTTGGGCAAGGTGGCTCACTGGTCCAGGCAAGGCAGTGGCAGGCCCCACACAGTGAGCTGGTAGCTCAGAGGATCACCTTGGTTCCCAGATACTCTGTGCCAGTGGAGGAGGAGTGTTTGTCAGCTGTTTTCCTAAAGTGCAGAGCCTGTTTGCCAGGGAAGAATGGGCTCAGTGGGGTTTCCCAGAGCTCTGCGGACTGCTGTTGGCCTGAACCTGATCATTGCTGTTCTGTCCTAGCTGATAAGCACAAGCTGGAGCGTTTCCTGCGCCTGGATGCTGCCCTGGTGGTGACTGTTTACGCTCCCATCACTTTCCCTCCTGCCTCAGTGCTGCTTTTTAAACAGAGGAGTAACGGTAAGTTGGTAAGTGCTGAGGAGGTGGTGTCTGGGAAACAAACTTTAGCAGGCCGTTCCCATACCCCACTTACAAGTGCATCTATCCAGAAAGTGTGACTTGAAAAAGCTGTTCCCTTCATGCCGTTTGAGAAGATTAATGCATTTCCATCCCCATTATTGCTGCCACCTTTGTCTGTCCCTGCTGTGGGGTTGCTCTTGGCCTGGAACCATTTGGGGAAGGGGGTTGTGGAGGGGGAAGAAGTGGTGTAGGCACCTTCTGTGGCACTGCCCTGGTGCCATTAGTGACTCTGCCTTGCAGGAATACATGACCTCATCGCCACGGGTTCTCTGCTTTCCGTGGACCCGGACAGAATTGTCATCAAGCGGCTGGTGCTCAGTGGCCATCCTTTCAAGATCTTTACCAAGACAGCTGTCGTGCGATACATGTTCTTTAACAGAGGTACGGCTCGTCTGTCTGTGATGAGAAGAGGGCATGCGGAAGCAGAACTCCTGCCCCTGCGGGAGCGGTTGCGTTGGTGCAACAAAGCCTGTTTCTTACCTGCCTTTTGTGTTTTGATCTCCAGAGGATGTGATGTGGTTTAAGCCAGTGGAGCTGAGGACAAAGTGGGGTCGCAGAGGACACATCAAGGAGCCATTAGGTAGGTTTGATTTGGTATTTATCTCTGGGATGCTGGGGAGGATGTGGTCCTCTGGGGCAGGAGAGACAGCTAATGGCCTCTTCTGCTTCTGCCTAGGCACCCATGGTCACATGAAGTGTCACTTCGATGGACAGCTGAAGTCCCAGGACACAGTGTTGCTGAACCTCTACAAGCGCGTTTTTCCTAAATGGACTTATGACCCCCATGTTCCGGAGCCCGTGCCATGGGTGAGGAGCGACAGTGCGCTGCCGGTGGAGGAGGTGGAAATGGAATAAGTCTCCAGCACAGTTGGAGTTTGTGCCTTAGCTCCCTGGATGCTGTTCTCAGCCCGTGCGCAGTGAGGACAGCACTGATGTCTTGGACATATTACTGCTGGGGTCTGTACAGGGGCAGCTGTCTCGCCAGCTGCTGCTCAGGTACCAGCTACAGCTATTTATTTTAATGGAAAATGTTTCAAAAACATCTAAGTGACTCTGTCTTGGTGGTGGCCAGCTGTGGAGGCCAAATGGGGAGGCTGTGTGTATCCCTTGGCCCACTGGGTCTGTTGTCTTTCCCTTGTGTCCTGCCAGTGGCGCATGCAGGGATTTTGCTGTATCATGGACAGGAGTTTGCTGGAAGTTACTGTGATGCTGAGAAAGAAAGGCGAAGTAGCAACTGGGGAGTGTGACTGACCGCAGCTCACTTGGAGGGCTGTCCCAGAGCAGGGCGGCTGGGGAGGGAAGAACAGGCAGTGCTTTGTTTCCAGGCCCCCCAGTAGTGACCCCCTGCTGTGGAACCAAGCGACTCTATGCTGTAGAGACCAATGCCAGCTTCCCTTATCCCTCCACAAAAACTTTTAAATGTTTGGGGTTGTTCCTCTGGTTTTAGTAGCAACAAACCAGACTGTACAAATTCAGAGTGAGATTTCTATTGCTTGAGACACCGTTCCGTTCTCATTCCGCTTTCCCAGGGAGGTCTGCGAGCCAGGTCAGGGAGCTCAGGTCCACATTTCCCCCGCACAGCACGATGCAAACGTTCTCCACATCCCGGGGGACTGCCTGGAACTTCTCCGAGAGCACGGCCGCCACTCCCACACCCGCTGTTGGCTCAATCAGCAGCTTCATCCTTTCCCACACCAGCCGTGTGGCTCGCTGTCAGGACAGAGCAGCAGCTGTTATCCCAGCAGCAAGTACAGGCTGCTCCAGGGCTGCGGAGGGCACTGCGTGTGCGCATCTCTCTGCAGCGCTCTGGGAAGGGAGAGCAGAGCTTCCGCCAGCCCTTTCCAGCTGGAGACAGTGTGGGTGTTGCGCAGCTGTGGTGGTGTGCAGGGGCTTGCGCTGCCCTGGGAGAGTGTAGGGGTGAGAGTGGAGGGGCAGAGCATGGATGGAGGCAGCTGCCTGCTGGCAGCTACCGTGAGAAGGGAGCCGGGAGCGTTTACCTTGATTTCTTCCTCTGAGACAGTCAGGACGTCATCAACCAAGTCCCTGATGATGGGCCATGTGTTTGGTCCGATGCTGGTTTTAACTGCATCTGCGATGGTATCTGGTGGGTGAAGGTTGGGGGTCAGTTCCCCTCTTAGCTTGGACTGGTAACAGTCATCTGCGTTGCGTGGCTCAGCAGCAAACACCTTCACATCTGGTCTCAAAGCCTGCAGAGAGCAGGGGGAGCGGCTCGGTTGAAACTGGTTGTGCCTGTCCACTGTTGCTGTGCACGCAGGGGGCCAAGTAGGCCATGCTGCTGCCATGCAGACCCCAGGCATCCTGAGGTTTTCACAGCAGGGTCTCTCCATTTCTAAAGAGAAAACCTGCTGCCTGTCTTGAGAGCCTTGCCCTTCCCACGGGGAAATGCAGGCACTGCTTCCCAGACAAGCTGCTGCTTACCTTGATGGCAACTGCTATTCCTGCAATCATTCCTCCGCCTCCGACAGGAACCACCACTGCGTTTACCTCGGGTGCCTGTGCAGAAACGAAGCGTGAGTGCTTCTGGTGCCTCGCGTACCCCTTTTTGCTGTGCCCCTGCCTATGAGGAGCAGACCCTTGGGCCATGCGTTTCCCTCACCTGGTCCAGCACCTCCAGGGCAATTGTGCCTTGCCCCGCTATCACCGCTGGCTCCTGGTTGGGGTGCACCATGACTCCTCCTGTCTCCTGGACTACACGAGATGCTGTCTCTGCTCTGGACTAAGGAAAACTGCAGATGGTCACCTCTCGGTCTGGCTGTGCCCTGTCCCTGGCTGGTGTCCCCCATGCCTTACCTTGTCGCTGGGCTCACATGGCACCAGCGTGGCACCGTAGGTGCGGATGGCGGCTTGCTTACAGTGTGGGGCTGTCCGGGGCACCACGATGTAGGCAGGAATCCCTGTGTGACAAAAGAGGAGGCAAATCCAACAGCCAAAAAGCTGCATGCAGCCAGTTAGCGCTGTAGGAGCGGGCTGTGCCTTGCCTATGCTAGCTCCTGGACATGTTCAGGAGGGGCACATCCCTGCTTATCCCCAGGGGTAGCAGAGCTGGGTGCTGGAGCTGCCTTTGCCCAGGAACCGGCTCTGCACTTACCCCTGGCCCTGTGCCTGCTGCCCAGCTGCTCTCGGAGCTGGAGCTGGAGTTCGGGGTATGCGTTACCTTCCACCTGGGCAGCACAGGCGAGCGCCTGCCCGTGATTCCCACTGCTGTGCGTCACGACAGCCCGGGGCAGCTCCCCTCCAGCACGGCTTTCCTCAACGAGGCTCCGGACTGCGTTCAGGGCCCCGCGGATCTGGAAGGCGAGGGCAGCGGTCTCTGTGCCACTGCCCGGGAGCCAGCGGCTGGGCTGTGCGGGCAGGGGTGGGAATGGGGAATCTCCTTCCTTGCAGCCTCCCTTGTGCCCTGGGAAGCGCTT